AGATGATAGCATTATTGGAAGATGCTGAGTGAAGGGTATTAGGAAACTCTTCATACTATTTTGCAACTTTTATTTAAGTCTAAAACTGTTCCAAAATAAAAAGTTTACAGGAGGTATACCTAAAACATTAGCATCCAGAAAGATTTAAACTAAAAGTATGCAAAAAAGCGGGGGGCAGGAAAGTTCTAACCAAGAGAAAACAGACATCACTATATTTTACAACAGACAAAAATGACTTCAAAGCAAAAAGCGTTATTTTGGAAAAAGATGATTGCTGCATAATAATAAAGGGAATACTTCACCAGGCTATGTAATAATTCTAAATGTGTTTATTTAGTAATAATATATTATCTAGTAATAATATGAAAATAAATTAAGCAAAAGGAACAGATTTACTGGAAGAAATTGACAAATCAGTTACCAAAGTGGGAATATTTAACACAGCTTTCTCAGTAAGGGATAGATTAAATAGACAAAAATTATTAGGAACACTGATACTAATTAAGAAAATTGGTATTACAGACATACAAAAAACCCTGCACCCAGCACTTATGCATGTTCTTTTCAACGCATGTGGATATTTATTAAAAAATTGACCATCTACTAGGTCATAAGACAGATCTCAACAAATACTGAAGAAATGGTATTTTATAGATCTGAACAGCAACATTCTTGGTTTTTTGCCACAGAGTGGAGTATCTCTCAGTCAGTATTGCAAAAACAATCCAATTTTTGGTTCCACTGTCACTTATTGAGTAGCTCCCCCAAGGTTCCAGGCTCTGCACTAAGTGTTGGCTGCGTTCTTCCTCCAGAACATAGTGTCCAGCTGGAACTAATTTATGAAACTCCTTTGCAGTTGTGCATGGCCATGTGGCTGAGTCTGGCCAATGGCATGGAACTGGAAGCAATGTCTGGGACTTAAGACACTGGATATGGGCTCTTTCACACTCTTTTCCCTTCTGCTGGCTGGAACCTAGATATGCCACTGATCCGACTTCAATCAAGCAATTGAGGACAATGTCCTAGGGGATGGCAGAACAATAAGTTGGAGGGATCCTGGGTTCCTGAATACTTAAAGGGAGCAAAACTGCCCTGCCAGTCTCAGATATCTTATGAGAGAAATGCATTTTGTTTTTGAAAGCACATAATGGTTGGGGGCTGTTTGTCATAGCAGCTTCATCTTTACCCAAATACATCAGTCTCACCCTGGACAAGAATATCCCACTCCCACCTCTGATAGTAACAGTTATTCTTCCCTCAATTTTTTTATTGGGGTAAAATACACATAACATAAAATTTACCATCTTAATCACTTTAAGTGTATAGTTTGCTGGTATTAAATCCTTTCAAAATGTTGCGCAATCATTACGAGCATTCATCTCCATAACTCTTCATCTTATAAAACTGAAACAGTACCCATTAAACACGAACTCCCCATTCTCCCTCCCCAACCCCATCCAAGGCAACAACCATTCTATTTTCTGTCTTTATGAGTTTAACAATTTTAAGTACCTTTTGTAAGTGGAATCATACAATATTTGTCTTTTTGAGACTGGCTGCTTTCACTTAGCATAAAGTCCTCAAGTTTTACCTATGTTGTAGCATGTGTCAAAATTTCCTTCCTTTTTAATTAAGGCCAAATAATATTCCCTTGTATGTATAGACTACATTTTGCTTATCCATTCTTTTATCAATGGACACTTGGATTACTTCCGCATTTTAGCTATTGTGAATAATATTGCTATAAATACACAAACTTCTCTTCAAGACCCTACTTTTTAATTCCTTTGGCTATATACCCAGAAGTGGACCTGCTGGATCACATAGTAATTCTATTTTTAATTATTTGAAGACCTGCCAACTGTTTCCACAGAGGTAGTATCATTTTACATTCCTACCAACAATTCCATTTCTCTACAACCTTCCAACATGTAATTTTCTTTTTTTTTTTAATAGTAGCCATCTTAATGGATGTGAATAACAGTTATTATCTTTTTTAGTAACAGTTATTTTTGATGTATGCCAGGTATAGCCCTCTATGTACCCATTTCACTGACTTGCTGACTCCTATTCTTTATTGAGGAGTAATTTACATACAGTAAGTACTCCTTTCTTTTTTTAAATTTTATTTTATTAGTTTCAAGTAAATAGTACGTCAATTAGACATTTATATATTTATAAAATGATCCTCCTAATTGCTCTTTCTCTCTTCTGGCTCTCCACCTAACCAATACATTAATGCTAACTGCATTCCCTATGCCGTGCTCCCCATCCCTGTGACCATCTATCAATTACTAATTTGTACTTCTTTAACTCTTCACTCCTTTCTCCCAGCTCCCCAACCCTCACCCCTCTGGCCGTCACCAGATTGTCCTCTATATTTGTGAGTCTGTTTTTGATTAGTTTGTTCTTTTTGTTTCTTAGATTCCACATATAAGTGAAATTATATGGTATTTATCTTTCTCTGTCTGACTTATTTCACTCAGCTTAATAACCTCTAGGTCTATCCATATTGTTGCAAATGGTAGGATTTCATTTTTTTTAATGGCTGTGTAATATTCCATTGTATATATGAACCATAACTTTTCATCCAATCATCTGTTGATGGGCATTTAGGTTGCTTCCATATCTTGGCTATCGTAAATTGTGTTGTCATGAATACAGGGGTGCATAGAACTTTACAAATTATTGTTTTGGTTTTCTTTGGATAAATACCTAGAAGTAAGTCCACCTTCCTTAATAGTACAGCTCAATAAGTTTTGACAAATGTATGTAGTCATGTAATCACCACCACAGTAAAGATACAAAAATTTACAATACCCCAAACAGTTCCCTCGGGCCCCTTTACAATCTCCCTTAGTAACCACTGATCTCTCTCTATAAACTAAAGTTTATTATAAACTATAAACTAAAAAATTATAGTTTGCCTTTTCTGGACATCTCACATAAATGGAATAAAATAATACATAAACTTTCGTGTCTGGCTCCTTTCACTTGGCATAATGTTCTTGAGATTTACCCATTTTGTTGTATATGTCAATAATTTGTTCTTTTCTATTGCTAGGTAAAAATTCCATTATATAGATGTGCCACAATTCATTTCTCCATTCACCAGTTGATGGACATTTGATTTTTTTTTCCTGTTTTTGGTGATTATAAATAAAGCTGCTGTGAATATTCATGTACAAGTATTAGTATGAACATAGATCTGTGTTTTTCTTGGGTAAATACCTATGAGTGTAATTGCTGGGTTATGTGATAAGTATATTTTATAAGCTGCCAAACTGTTTTCCAAAGTGGCCATATCATTATTTATTTATTTTTGAATTGTAAAAATATATTCATTGACTTGTAAGATTATTACAAAATGTTATTCAACAGAAAAAACTTATTAAACTGTATATTTATTTCATTTCTCTTCTCTTTATTGAGCAAAGAACGGCTCAATAAAATTTCACCTATGTATATACCCATAATCATTGCCTCAATCAAGATAGCAAATACTTACAGTGCCTCAAGAAGGCTACCTAGTGTCCTTTTCCAATCGGTTCCCCTCAGTGGTAACTACTATTCTGATTTCTATCATCTTTAGACTAGTTTTGCCTGGTTTTGAACTTCACACAAAAGGGACAATACATTTTATGTGTGTCTAGTCTCCTGCTGTTTTCCTACTATCCAGAACTGCACTGTCCACTATGTTAGCCACTAGCCCCAGGGTGCTATTTAACTTTAAATTAATTAAAAGTAGATAGAATTTAGGATTCAGATCCTCAGTCACACCATCCACATTTCATGTGCTCAGTAGACACATGTAGCTAATGGCTACCATAGCAGACAGTGTAGATGTAGAAAGTTTCCAACACTGCAGAAAGTTCTGTTGGACAATATTGCTCTACAATCCAGGTATGCATATTAAACAGGTACCCAACGAGTGCGTTATAAAATAAAGATTTCTTTTATCCTTATTGTATGGGTAAGAAAAAAATAGGCCAGAGAGGTTTTGCCATTATCCCAAGGCCACTTAGCCAGGAAGCCAAGCAGGAATTTGAATCCAGGATTGTTTTGCTGCAAAACACATGCTCTTCCCTTTCCCAAGAGCCAAAAGCCTCTTGGCTGTTTACAGAGGTACAGGGCTCTCCTTGTCCTACAAATCCTTCTACTCTGAGTTTGTACCTAGCTGTGGGCAGCTTCCAGGAAGGATTGTTACCCAAGACATTAAGGGTTCTAGGGTCAGTCCTGATTCCATCTCAGATTCATTGGCTGTGTGACCCTTAACAAGTCTCTTTGCCTCTCTTGGCCTTGGCTATATCCCTATGAAATGAAGAAACTGACCCTAATGCTCTGAGTGTTGGAGATGGCAGGTAGGTGACTTAGTGTGACTGAGTACATGCTTCATATCTTGTCTGGCTCTGGGGCAGGCCAGCATGAGAAGTGGGGTTGGCGTCGGAGTGCTTTGCTTGGTTGGCTTGATACAATAGCAGCTCCTGTTTCTTGAATGCCTACAGATGAGGAAGCTGAGGCTCAGAAAGGTAAGGGAACTTGGTCGAGGCTACACAGCAGGGGAACTGGAAGAGCTGGAATTCGAACCTAGGGCTCTGATACCACGCGCCCATGCCATGGGATAAGGATTGAGGGGCGCAGAGCGCGGAGCCGTGGAACCACAGCCTACACAGGGAGGAGCTGTCCGGTGATAAGGGGTGAGCTCCCCGTCTCCGGAGGTGTGCAAGCCGGGGCTGGGCTGTCCACGGCAGGAGCAGTCGCAGAGCCGAGATGGCGGAGCCCCTCGCGGGCCCCC